TACTGCAATATTGTTAAATATAGCGATAGGCATTCAATCAACATGTACGGATCTTGACCTAAGGTTTATACATGTAAGGCAGGGCAGGTTTGTATAATAAAAAAATTTTAGTTACGTTATATTTTTTCTGTCAATATATAGCAATGAAAGGTCAGAATAGCATACTTATACGTAAAGATAAATAAAATTGCTTCGAAAAGTAGCATATCTTTAGAGGTTGGAAGCATAGATGTAAGGTCTGTAACAAATGCAATCACCATTCACATCTATATTGCAAAACATGCAAAAAAGTAGTGAATGGAATATATGAGCGACATGAATGTGAAAATTCTCGAGAATCGATACATAATTTTTTATAATTCGCCACGTAACAAAGATATGTGTTAGAATAATTCCGCATACGTACGTATAAAATTTATCTGCAAGGCTTATTGTTATGCATAATTTAAGACAGGTACAAGTAGAAATTGCTATTTTTCATTTTTCGACTGGGCGCCCTGGCTGAAATTAGTACCTAACCAAGTGTTAGCCCAATAAATTTACTTCAGTAGTTAAAAATCTGTCAAATTTCGATTCAATTAATTAACACATCTTTATATGTAAAAACCTCTGATAAAAGCATTCAGCAATAATATACATGATCGTGATTTGTGTATGTCCGTAAGTGCTATTTCTTCCAAAAAAATTTGAGTCGATACTGTATTACCATTACGCAAATGATATATTGATATAAAAATATGTAAAAAATTTTTTAATTTATCAAAATTTTCAAATGCAGGATCGACTTCGAGATTTACTATGTACGTAGTTATGTTATCTATTATTATTATGACGTAACAATGATATTATTACTGTATTCAAAATCACATGTATGATCAGAGATTAAAAATACACGTGTGATCTGTTGTACGACAATCAGATTGTTTGTATAAACTATGTGAATGTACAACTATTTTCTGCTAAAAAAAAATTTTCATTTTCTCAACAATCATGTCTACTTCTACTTTTTCTGGAAAAAAAGAATCTCTTCCTGCCATAAACGTAGTAGATAGATGGGATACAGAGACGCTAATCGGATTTTTGAGCGAGCAAAACTTAAAACTCAGGGAGGATCATTTCGAGGTTCTTCGTAAACAGGAAATTGAAGGCTCAGACCTTCTCAAGTCAAACCAGAAAGCACTTGAAAGATGGGGAATGCCAGGTAGACCGGCACGAAGAATTGTGGAATTAGTAAATAAAATCATGAGCGAAGGGCAGGGTAGTAGTACCATGACTGCATTTGAATATTCCAAACCGATACTGCTTTCTCCACAATAATTTTATGCGATTTTATCAATAGATGTACTGAGTCTTCGGGAGCAAACATTGTATAATGAGGTGCTAGACCTGCGAGCGAAGCTTGCAATCTTGTAAGAGAATCTTTTTATAGTATGCAAATTGTTATGGTGAAATGATTTCGATATAACTAATAACGTTTGCAATGCAGTTCTTCATCGGCTACTAAGCGATATTTTTCCAACTTGGATAACTATAAAGAAAGTTAGTTGTATAGTATATTTTGCTTTTATAGAATTCTTGTCATTTCAACTAAACTTTTCTGATCTTTACAGAACAGCAAAAAAACATAAAGAAGATTAAGAGCTATCCTTCCCCGTCATCTTTTGCACTTCTTAATAATCTTATTAACTATCATGTTAAAGACAAGCAGTTACTTATTCACCATTCTCCAGAATGCATTGGCCCACCAGTACAAATTTATCACGACGTTTTCAGTTAATTCCTGTGTGATTACCATAATGAAGATCTAGAAATGAAGAGAGAGCATTATAAATAGACTCTTGAGTTCATTAATGGAATGGCTGACATATACCACAATGAACGTGAACATTTTATAGTGTTTAAAGAAAAAATTCATAAATTATTTGGTGAGGAATTAAGAATAATTAGCCTGGAAGATGATTCTTCAAATGATGGTATATTGGAATCTAACGTCTTTTCAAAAAGTGTTTTATGCTTTCTTGTTGAAATGAAAAATGAAATTGGGACTGGTAGCTGTGATCCAACTGTCCAAGCTAGTGCTTCTTATGCAAAATATTATACCCAAGAGACATATAGGAAAGTACTCAAATGGTACAACTGGCTGTCTTTTATCTTATACTTAGCTGGACCATGGGTGTGTATTTTAAGGGCAGTATATGTTGAGAAACCTATTGTAGATCTCTTGACGGACTTTATACCTCTTATTTCTACAAACAATTGAGCCCATGTGGAGCGAGTAGCATGACTTTCAAAGCTTTGTACTTGGGAGTCAACAGGCTAAAAGAGTATTATGTATTGCTAGATATACCTACAAATCGACAAAATTCATACCAATTTTTTCTCTATCTGAATCAATATAAATACCAAGATACAATTGTAGAATTTACCTTGTTGATCACAAGCTTCTTTGAAGAGCCATAACAAAAGACGGGCAGAAAATTATTGTTAAGTTTGCGTGACAGTATAATCGTAGAGCACATAAACTATGTAGCGAAATTGGAAAAGCACCAAAATTACTCTACATTAACAAGGAGATGGTGGATGGTTTATATATGGTAGTGATGGATTATGTTGAGGCTGAACCACTTTATAACTGTAGCTCACTTAGTCGTAATGAATATAAGGCGATTTTAAGGGATGTCAAAGATGCTATTGACAAATTGTATGAGGAAAGTATTGTTTTTGCTAAATCAGCCAGAAGCACCTTCCGAAGTTCAGGTGATGATCTACGAAATAGCCGCAGCAGCCACAGTATCTTTTCTTTTGTCATATAGACGTGAATAAGAGAAGTTATCTAATTTTTTTATTATTTGAAATTAGTTTTTCTTTTTTGGAGAACTTTGCTATAGCTAAA